TGTTTTTTTAAATGGAATTTTTGTTTTCAGGCGGAGTTACCGGATGATGGAGTGGTGATGAGGGCATCGGCAAACACCGATTGGTCAGTGGGAGGTGTGTTTGAGAAGAAACTTTCGAGAAATTTGCCATTTACATTGGCAATATCCGGAATGCTTAATCATGTGAAAGGTCAGGGAAAATTCGGTATCGGCCTGATCATTGGTTGACGGCTGATCAGCTCAGTTTGTTCTACACAGATGTGATGATAAAGGCTTGGGCCGATTTTGTTTTTTGATAATTCGTTCAGCTTTGTTGAATAGTACTCACACACTGGCCTCATTCGCAGCACATTTACTTCCTCTCTGCCACGCCGGGGGGTTCGTTCGTGTTTCGGTTGATAGATTATCGCTAATAATACCATGCTAGAGCAATTGTTATCTTGTTTTGCTAAGTCATTGTTAACAGTAGTTGTTTGATCTAGATTAAAAATGAATGATTAAATTTTGTGAATTTGCATCTTCTGAGCACAAAAATTATGACACACGCTAGATTTGTAAGTGAAAAATTGAATTTTCTGTGTTTTACTTGAAAACCAAAAAAAAATCATTGAGATACACGAAATATGCAATTTTTGTGAATACCAAGACCGCTCAGGCCGCCAGTACAGGCATCCTGTGTTAGTGATGTTACTGGGATACTCCTACTCGCCGACCACAACTATGCCAGGCCCTCTGATCCTGGGGATCATGGATAATTATTGAAAACCAGATCTTTTGAATAATTTCTCCTGTGTAAGCACTAAACAAACGATTTTCACCTCATTGAAGTTTCTCATGGAGAAGGAAAGGCTTGATTTTTCTTAGTTTTTTTTCTATGGTGATACAGATTTACCGTTTTTGGCCATAGCATATTCTGGGTAAATTATTGCTCTGTTAAAAAGAGGTTTAAATTTTCTCGGGTATTTATTTTTTCACTGTGATAAAGCAGTTTCCCTTTTAATCATTTTTCCGAAACCCCCCTTTTTTCTGTACCCCAAGGACCCATCCGTTCCCTTACCCTACCTCCTTTTTCTCTCCTGTTCCTCGTGAGGCTTTTTCTTCGGTCTTCATCCACCCCTTCAGCTTTCTCAGGCATTCTTGGCCTTCCTACAAGCCTGTTTTAGTAGTACATCAAGAGGGAAGGTGTTAGATGTGCTGTGATAGTTAATAGGATTTGTGTCAGTAAAATTTTCTTGGAATAGTTAAACAATTCTCCCGTGGCCTTATATATTTTACTTTTTTGTTTTTACCTCGAAATAAGCAGCTTGTTAAAAGAAATTTTGTTGCGGTAAATCTTCAACGAACTATAGCTTTGCAAGCTTGCCGAAATTGAAAACTTTTCTGTTGCATGCAAAATCCTCCAAAAAATCGTTTTTTTTTGTTTATAACTTTCTCTGAACGACCGTCATTAGCGCTCTTGTCTGCTGATGTTATATGAGTTCAGTGTCTTTTCACCGGTTTTTTCGCCTCAGCATCAGCTGATTTACTGAGTTAGGGTGTTTTGTGAGTTCAGTAAAACTCGAAATTCCTGGACGATTTTGTCTGTTTGCATGTGAGTATTCCCAACGATGCTTTGCTCTTTGTTCACCGCGTGAAGCAGCTCGCCTTTACTCGACCCACTTCTTTTTATTTGTAGCTTTTCAAATAAATCAGTTGTTTTTATTAATTTTTTAGATTTCCACTTTTTGTTTTTTTTTTTTTTTTTTTAATCGTTCCGGCGACACAGTTTTGCTCAGCTTACAGAGATATTCTTTGTTGTTTTGTTTTTTTTTTCCTTTTTTTTCCCTGATTTTCGTTGCTAACTGCGTTTTGAGTTGCATGCAGTAAACGCTTTCCCTGAATTTTTATATTTGTTTTTTCTGTATGTAATTGATTGCCTTTCAGTAGGCTTCAGTTCATTGCACTAGTAGAGAGAGATTGATTGAATTATGATGCGAAGGCATTGCCCACATTTGTGGTTCTTAATTTTGATGATGATATGCTTTTCACCACGCGTTGTTATAGGGATAAGTTCTGATAATTAAAGTATTATTGTTACTTTTTGTTTTTGTTGCATAAGCATATCGGACTCGTATTGCTGACAACGCTAAGATCAGTTCGGGTGATTCTGGTGATAATCAGGATCTGACTCATTGTACTTGCTTGAAAATGTAACCACTAAATCGTATCTTGAGGAATGATCCAAAGCATCGCCTTGACTTCATCCTTAGCAATAAGATCACGGGAAAGTTGTTGATGGGAGAGCAGTGGCGACAGGGGAGCTTGCTAATTATCTTGAAAGCTCAAGTAGTGCGTTGTGCAGAATTCCCACTCCAGTACTAGCAATACGGGATTAACTCTACAAGATGCGCAGTTGGCTGGAATGGAAGTAGAGGAGTTGCTAATTTAACTAAGATGGGATGGATTTCTGGTGCCGCGTATGAATGCGTCGGTGAATCGAAGGAACCTGTGGTAAGTGCTGAGTGAACTAATGTTACAACGAACAGTTTATTGAATAATGCGGCTATGAGTTAGTAAAAGACCGGATTATCATAAGTCACTAGTGCTGGCAATACGGGGTTAACTGAAAAGATAATCAGTCGGCTAAAAAGAAACAGACGATTTAAAGTTGTGCACGGACCTCGAATCATAGGATTATCTCTCTTATATAATTGGTACTCCTGCAATTCATATCTCAAGTCTATCTTCGTAAGACATTTCAAAATGTGTTTTGAAATTGCGTCGATAAGACAGGCAACCGATTTTTCCCGTCGTAGATAAAATATCTAGTGAGGAAACTTTCGATAAAGAATCAGTAGTGGAAAAGCGGAACTGTAACCCCACAGCGAAACTAAAGCGATAAAATAACATCACCTTTACAGTTTCGAGTTTCAGGGAAATTAAAAAATAAGTCTTGAACTGCCCGACTTACCACTTTGACCCCAGGTACGCTTGCTTCATGGTGGCCCCCTGCACCATCGATGTATTCTTTCATTCAGCAGCAACTGGACATCAGCAAAATTTTCCTGTAGAAACATGCAGCCGTGCTTATCGTTCAAGTCATATCGCTGTTTATCCATGATTTGTTCATTTAAATAATGCCACTTCACGTGCTGGACTTCTTATCTGATCCCTTGAATGTCCTTCACTCCAATTTGATGAATTTATTGCGACATTCCTCACTAAACTGAAGCACTTATAGTCTTCCGAGATGAACTATCGCTTGTGAAAGCGATAATGAGCCATCAGTGGAGTTCAGCGCATCACCGAAACTTGAAAGGTGAGTTTTTCTGTGCAGTGCCTTGTTACAGTTCTTCAAAGAAGAAACTCTTTTGGACGATATGGAACATCTTTGATCTACAAAAAAAAGATCTGGGCGCCTAACTATTCTCTAATTGCTGAGGATGACCGAGATTCATTGTTTTTGGTTTCTTTGTGCATCGTTGAGGCCCAGTCCTGGATTAATGGAATTCCTCGGACAACGGTTTGTTCGTGCAGTGGCGACTTATTTAATTGCCTAACTGGAAATGGTCAGCTAGTTTTACTGGTCAGTCCGTCGTTGTTGGCAAAATAGGCCACTTTGGTCGCCACCTTCGTCCGAAGAGAGCGCAGGAGCAGATAAGTGAGGGGAATGAGGAAAATTACCTCGTTAATTTTAGGTGCTGAAAGGAGTGGTATGCGTGTCGTTGGGTGATGAATCAATTTCCTCTCTGGTTTTTT